AAAAGCAAAGAAAAGGGTGACATGGCAAAGCATTGTGTGCGGAAGGAAGAGCGGCTTCACGGGAGAAATCACTCGTACTTTATGCTATTCGCAGACTGCACTGTCCCCTACATGGAGAAAAATTTAAAAGGAATGAGAAAAGAGGTACAAAAACAATAATGAGAGAAACTAAGAGATAGATGTATCGGAATCTACAAATATACATAGAGATAATTTATTTATATACATATGCTACATGTGTAATTATGTATACGTGAATGTGTGCAACAAAGAAGGTAACAGATAAAGAAAAACATCAAGTAAAAATTTGAGATGAATCGTTATACGAATAAATTTATGTTTTCCTTTTTCCGGCTAGTAAAAATTTTTAATGAGTTTCGAATGAAGGATAACAATTAAAGATAATGATTTTAGCAACATCCTTATGGTTTGTGAACTGGAATAACACAGACATCCAAAATTATCGATAAAAGATAGAAGATAAAGGAGGGAGAGAAAGAGAGAAAAATAAAAAAAAATAAATAAAAAAAATAGATTTTGAAACGATATTACGCGATAAGTTAAACTTCACTTTTAACATTAATAATAACAGTATATATAATGATAGTATTTAAAAAATTTCAATTTATTGCTATTAATTTTAAAATATTTTGTATAAAAATATAGCGTGTTATGTAAGTAGTTCTAAAACATCAAAATTAATGTATGCCTTAATTTTTCGTTTTCTTTATTTAATAGAAATTTATTTATGAGTTTTATGCATGTTTTTGCATGTTTAAATATCTTCTAAATGTAAATATTAATAAAAAAAAATTGAATTTGTATGTTAATAAAACATACTGTATTATACGTATTTGTACATGCTAAAAATGAAAAATAATAGGAAAAATATAAGTAGCAATGAGAACGTGCAATAATTTATGAGATGAAATTGCTGTTCGACTTGTTTATTTAAAATTAATTAACTAATGTTCTTGATATTTTTTAGTAAGACTTTATCAATGATATTCATAATGTATAGGAAGTAGGAGTTGCTTCTATTATCATTTGCTGTCATAAGCTTCATTTTGTTCAGAATGGTAATTAGCTTATAAGTAATTTCATGATTCAGTCATGTTTCATTTAAATATAATGAAAATAATATATATATATATATATACATATGAAGAAAATAACTTGACTGCACTATATCTACATATCAAACTCTCTTAAGATTTAAATTGTCGAAGCAAATATTTTAAGAAGCTGCCCGTGTAGAGAACCGATTTGCGAAACAAGAAGATACTGTATAAGTAAATATAGCTTATCTCTCGTGTATAAAGAGGCAAGATCGGGGGCATATGCAAACGCATAATTAGGGTGAAGTAGCAGCACCGGTGTTTCGGGCTGTGTGGAGCCTTAAGGGGCGAGTGGTGATCAGTCTTGCTTACTGATTCTCCCGGTGTTGACACCACCCGCTCAAGGCACCATACTTCTGTGCATCAATTACAGCACTAGAGACTCTATGAGATACAAAAGACAATTGAATATATGTTATGAAAGAGAGAGAGAGAGAGAGAGAGAGAGAGAGAGAGAGAGAAAGAGATGATATAGCGTTCTATACCTGTCAATCTTTGAAATAGCAATCGAATGTCTTCCATAATCTTTAAAAGATTGTTAATCATTATTTTCTTGCCAACAGTAGCAATTTTTCATGACTTTTTCAATGTATACTCTCGAGGGAATTAAAATAAAAAAAACTGTATAGATTCATTACACTAAAATAATAATCATTCATATTATCCACTGATACTGTAACTTTATTACAATTATATCGAAGTTTTTATATCATAAGCATAATTTTTGCTGTACTTAAATTTTATTCTTACTTACTATTTCTTACTCTATAAATTAATTGTATTTGGTTTTTATTTAAATTTAATCTAATTTTTATTTGGAAAAAGTTTCACAAAATGTGTATATAAGGGTCATTTTTATTGTTTTAAATATTTTTCTATTGAGATATATTTCTGATTATATGTATCATGAACAAATAAACATACGAACAATCATGCGATTAATTGTAGACTGAGTTAATGACAGCTAATGACAATCTCATTTCAATGAAATTGAAGATGAAGAGGGGATTCTACATGAACATAATACTTCTAATTTGTTTTATAAAGTTCACACTTACCTCATAAATTCTATATACTTAAGATCCACTGTTAGTAAGCAGTGATTTTAAAATAGACCATTAAAAATATAGAATTTAGAAAACTTTTATTTTTCGTTATAGATTATAAGTATTGAAAATTTAATAAATATTTAAAAACAAGTGCTATGTTTCTCTAGAAAAAAGGAATGCAATCATTTGAAGGGTTGATCTTATGTTTGCCTTAATTTGATGAACAGCTCTATTGGGATTTATTGGAGACAATTTTAGCGAAGGTGAAGTAAGTTAAGCTTACTTTAACTTGCCTAAGATAAGCATCTAAGAATGATTAAGAATCTAAGAATGATTGGTATTATTTTTATTATTAAGAAATATTATTAGGTAATGTTAATCATACAATATTCAGCTAATTCAAGCTACGTATTAATTATATAGTGAATTTATACTTCTAGAAAAGTTTCGGATAATGAAAGTTGGTTAATTATTTAGGTAGTTGACAAAAGATTTAAACATTTATTACTTTTATTATTGACGTTATTTGTAATTTTATATATACGCTTAAGCTAACCTTATAAGTAATAATTATAAGTACATGATTACATTATTTGCAATGACACTAAAGGAAATTGATAGATATTGTATAAGTAAGTAAACTATGTTGATATTAAAGATGATTAGCATGTTTTAACAGACATTTTGGAGACTTATTAATGTATCGATTCTAACTATGATTTTTTTGATAAGTTAATAAACACTATCGATATTTCCTATAACAAAAGTTGCGAAAAGTGAAAGAAAATAGAGGGTAAATAATATTCGGTATTGCGATACTTGCGATACTTGCGACACGTAACTTATACGTGCTAGCTTTTACAACTCCTAAGGCAGTTGTTACTTAGCTATGTTATATCTACGACAATACTTACACTATGAGTGAAGAGTAGGAGGGGGACGATTACATAAACTGGAGTAATATTGACCCGATGAAAACTGCATTAAAATAATATTAAATTAATTTCTTAATATTACCATAAATTATTGTAAATGGATATAGTTGAATTTTCTTACTAAGTCATTTATATAACTATAAGAATGTAAAAAATAGAAACTATCATTTAAACGATGTAACTGTAATATCAATTTCTGATAAAAGTACACGAATAATATGATATACTATTTACACTATAAACTTTCTTCTCAATTTATTTTAAAAATATAACAATTATTTTATATGCATAATATTTTTGATCGATCATTTAAAAAATTATTAAGACAGCATAAAGTATTTAGACGATATAAAGATATTAGTATAACGCAGTCAACACGACGAAAGTAGTGGTCATTTGATAATATTATAGTTTGTGTGTTAAAAAATTTCATAGTTTATATAAGTAAAATTTTAGTAATGTATATAAACTAAATTATTGATTAAATAAGAATAGATAAGAATTCAATAAATAGAGTATTAAACAGATGGTGGTGAAAGAGCACGTAAATCATCATTAATAGCAAAATTCAAGAGCTTGTGTACAGTCAGTCCATTATCTCTTTTATGCAATGTATAATGTCTCTTTCATATTTATACATTTCCTTGAAGAATGTGAACATATTGGGAGATGGCAGCGTTTGATTTGCCAATGTTCGATTTCTCAGTTTAAACAGGCTAGGGAGTCTATAACGGGCGATACAATATTTTTTCCATATTTTATTCGTAGTGCTAGAAAAAACAAATAGGAAAACGAAAATATGTGAATCCTTATTAAATAATTAAGGAATAGCCTGTCGAAAAAATAATACATTAATAATATACTCAATATGATTTACCTCGAAATAGAAGTATTAAGTAATTTAGTCGAATCGGTTAAGATTCATTATAAATTGAAAAATAATGTTGGAAGATTATTAAAATAAATTACTATTTTTAAAAAATGGAAACAAAAAATAATATAAATTATAAATTCGCAAGATGTACAAAAAATAGTCATGTGATATTATTGTAATAAGTGAGATATTTATATCAAGATGAATTAGTATAGTAATTGATTACATAATAAATACAAAATGTCATATGTGAAAGACAACTGTAGATAGATTAAAATCTTTATTTAACTACAAGAATTTCGTAAATGATATTATATTAACTTCAAAATATTTAATTTTAATGCAAAATCTAAAAATCTAAATTTATATATTATATATGAATTAAGTTATAATAAAAATTTGTTTATTATACAAAAAATATAAATTATGAAATTTAAAAAATTTTTTTATTGTACAATAAGTATAGTTTCTGAGTTTTTAGTTAGGAATCATTTTCTGTTATTTTGTAAAATTGTATTTTCATAACCATGATTTATTAATTTATTTATAAATAAGAAAATGATAATTAAATTATGAAATTTAGATTGATTATACATAAACGCCTATTAAATGAGAATTCGGTTATTAAAAAAAGTCATGAACGAAATTCAAAGGAAGAGCATTGTACATTTCAATTTTATGTCAGTTCTATTTAGTATTCGAAATAAATAACTCATACATAACTTTTAAGTTGCTTTTCATCCATAGATATTTATAAATTTATCGAAAAAATATCGAGAATGCACAGCGTATATAACAGAATAAAAAATTTTGTTAATAAATCCGTCATACAAATGTTAGTTATTCAACTTTAAATATAAAAGAGTTGAAGTATGTGCTTTCATTCTCATTATATAAATCGAAAGTAATTTCGCTGTATTGCATCCATTTGCTGGATCATGCGAAATAAAGTATTAAAGTGTTATTAATTTGAGTTGTAGTATATTTTTTGGATTAAAATTCATGTGGAAACATGTATGCTCACCGGTTCTCTTCTCAGCGTCACGAAATGTGACCTCGCTTAAAATAACAGGTTGGCTCCTGCCTTTAGCGTTGACAGCGTAGACAGCAACGTGGACACCTGCGTCCACTGAGGCTTTGAGTCCTGACAGTACGAATATGGGCTCTTCCCTTGTCGAGACATTATACAGTGGTCGAATACTTGCCAATGCCTCGAGGTCGCCATGATATACCTCGAGGATAAATTCTTGGGGTAGGCCACCGTCGTAGCCAGAGTAACATTTGACCTCAACACTAGTGTATGTCTGATTCGACAGGCTACAGTTGCGTACAGGGAATGGTTTACCTGAAATAAAAGTGATTATTATTATTTTATTTTTATAGCTTTGATTTTAACGTCTTTTATAAATAATTTAGATGTATTCATGTAGAAGTTAGTTTGACCAAAATTCTGAGGGAAATGGCTGAACAGAAAATAATTTCATCAAGTAGTTCTGTGATTAGGAATATTATACTAAATAATAAGTCGTCGCAAACATTTTATATGAAAATATTTTAATAATATTTTATATTAAAAAATTCTTTTTAGAATGAAATTAAAATATTTGGTAAAATTTTTACGTGAATATATCGCTTTCGAGGTTAATCGATTTTTTCATTAAATCTACTTATGAAATTAATTTTCATTCCATAAGTATGATGCATAAAAAATTATATAATAGGGATAAAAACCACTTCTACTAAAAAAAAAAAGAATAATAAGTATTAAAGAATTAAAATAAAATACTTCAAGTACTGTAAATTCTTTCTCAAGTTTTATATAACTAATAAACTAAATAAATATAACAAATTTTTAAAACTATTAAAAATTTTAAAGTGTAAACGAAATGAAATAAAAAATGTGGATAATGTTTTAATTGCAATTAAAAAAGATTCTCAAAAATTTGAAATATATAAAAATTTTTATTCACAATTTGTACTAGAAATATTTTTTAAATCTAGGAAATTGGGATTGTTTAAAAATATTGTTTTTTGTATGAATGAACATTCTAAATTAAAATTTTTTATTTCCCTAAAATTTATAAAATATGTATATTTATATACTTATCAATTAATTGAATAATATTTTAATACAATATTGCCACAAAAAATGTAAACAATTTGTATTAACATTGTAATGAGATTGGAATTAGTGTTTGAAGTAAACTTCATGACAGTTGAACATATAGTCAAGTAGCCTGTAACCAAATTTTATATTTCAATATAAATATATTGTTAATATAATCGCGAAAGTTTAATTCACATTTATGTTTATTTATTTCTTTGATGTATGAAAATATGAACGTTCATCAGTAATTATTTTGAAATTATTATTTTTTATACAGATATAAGTTTAACTATTTATATTTAAAGCAAATATTACATTGCTAATATTTTTCTTTAGCATAAATTGTGTTTAAAAATTTGTTTAAATTTGTTTAAAAATATATAAATATATAAGTAAATATATAGAAATATATAGGTAAAATCATCTCATTAATAATTTACATATAATATAAGTGAATCAATGTAATAACATATACTTTTAAAATTATTCAGTCGTAAATATCATAATTTAGAAATATAGAAAGTAAAATTGTTATTATTGTCATTTAATTTTATTTGCATTATATTGTATTATTATATATATTTATATATATATATATATATATATATATATATATATATATATATATACACATAATTATGCTATAGAACAATTTTTAATTAAATTATAGTATAATTTTATAATGTCTTGTTTCGTAAAATAAATATAATTTTTTATAATTATAAGCTGTTATAAATGAAGATAATAAAAATATACCTATTCTTGTTTAATATGAAATTCTATTATTATCATTTTGTATATATTGTTTGTTAATTTTAATATTATTGATTTAGTAAATTCTCATTTCAATATTCTGTTTAATTATAATTATTTAATTATTCTTATACAGCACCCAAAAATCATAACAAAGTCTGATTTTTTACAACATTTTTAAATAAAATTTTGACACTATTTATTTATAAAATCATTTATATATTCATTTTGAAATCATATTTTTAAATTTTTCTGGAAATAATTTTAGAAATTTCTTATTAATGACAAAATATAAATATAAATTTCGGACTGAAAAAATCAAATTTGAATAAAATTTTGTAATGTTGTAAGAAACTTAACTGTCAACATAAATATTCTATGCGAATACCATTCTATATAATATAGAAAGGAAAGTAACCTAGAATTGTGAACATCCGATGAATATTGACGTAAATGTGTATTTTATCAATGACGCGAAAATCTGTTTATGGTTATAAATAAAAAATATATAATTAAAAGAAATATAAAAAAAATAAGCTGACTTTAATGAATATAGAACATGGCATGGCAAAATAAATTATGAAATAATAATGACCGATGAGAATTGAAAACTATTTTACTTTAAACACTAAGTACTCAAGTGATATAGGTAAAGAAATACAAATAATATATTAATTTAATATTTTGTAAATATCTGTGATTAAATATTTAATATACTACTTTTAAATTATTTTCTTCATTTACAAATATTATTCAATTAAAGTAATAATATATTAATGATAATATTTAAATACGTGAATTATTAATTTCTTCAATAATTATGTTGAAAATAATTAATCACTGTAAAAGAATTTTAAATCATCTCGATTATGAAAGAAGAATGATAATAATTGGAAGTGTATAATTGGAATATACAGATAATAATTTGAAGTGAAATAAATATTCTTAATATATCTAATATATTCAATACGTCCATTTTTCGATAATTCAAAACTTATAAAGCAACCGAATAAAATAATTATAAGACTATTTGCTCGTCGTGTTAGTGGGATGGTTAATAATGTATGTATAATGTAAAGTATCAAGTATACTACAGTCTTGTAGTAATGGTGTTCTGCATTTTCAGAAAGTGTACTGTAATTTGCGGATTTACATTTACCCAACTCTGACACATGTTTGAATCCCATACACGCGTATTTCTTTTCTTTCTCGTAATTGACGGTACATCTAAACATACTAGACGAGTTGCGGAAAAAGGCGGAGAGTTAAACAGCTGAATCCTATGCAAACATATCGAAGTATGCATCTGTACGGAACGAAAAAGGAAGCGAAAGAAAGTATTAGGAAAAGTTTAAGTTGAAGAGAATCACTTCTGTTTCTTGTTGATATGGTTTACTAGCTTCGTGTACTTTTTCGTCTGTACAGTTTTCGCATTCACTTATTTCTCGTTTGCATTATTTTGTACATTTTTTATTCCACCTCGTTGAATTTTATTTCTTTACAAACTTATTTTCTTCAATTTTCATTTGTTTTTCTCTGATATATTCACAAAAAGATAGTCTTTAATTATTACAGCATTAGCATAATATATTATCTTTTGTAATTTCTGATAGTGAGCGATCCCACTCTGACATTTGAATATCCTATAATGAATAAAATATAAATAATCATAATACAAAATATTTTAACTAATTTAGTTTTGTAAAATTCCTATAGGATCGAAAAATAAAGTTAGCGAGAGGGTAAGAAAACTAGTCTGTTGGATGGGAAAATATTTAAGAAAAGTCGTTGAGACTGTTTTCTACTGCAAAGCCGTATTAAATTGCTATTCAGAGACAATAAAAGAATGGATATGCAAAATATAAAATGGAAAACATATAAAAAGGGGTGCTTTACTCATAGTTATCGTCTTTGCTGAAGAGTAGAAGGCGGGTAGAGCATAGAGTTATAGATGTGAAACCAAAGGATGCAATGTGATAAATATGTAGAAAAATCTGCACATACTATTAAGAAATAGGACAGATTTAAAAAAAGATAGAGGCAGTAATGGCTTTTAATAAAATAGTAAAATTATGAAAAAGAAACAAAATTTTCGGTTTTGTTTTTAAATAATGATCTAAATAATGGAAGGAATAAATAAGTTATTTATAACACCGGAATATGTGTGTTATATTTTTATTATCAATCTTTCAAATTTCATAATTTATTTTCAACACATTATGATTATTATATTTTTAAAATAAAATGAAATTTTATTACCATAGGGTCGATAATTAATTAGTTTTACAATTCAATGAAATCAAGTCTTTTGTTAATTATTAAATATTTTTTATTATTTTATTAAATAAATTGTTTTAATAAAAATAGTAATAGTGATAACAATAATGATAATTATAATAGTAATATCAACAACGATAAAATGATAAAAATTTGAATAGTAATAAAAATCATAAATATATTAATAATATTTTTATAATAAAACATGTATTATGGCCATAAGAAAAATAAATTGATGTTTGACTAATTTTTAAAATTTTTACATTATTTTGATAAATAATTGTTTAAATTATTTTATTAATATTATTTAAAATATGAAAAAATTTGACTTTCGTTTATAAAAATTGTTTCGTTACGTATTTCATAATTGAGTTTTAAAGATATAAATGAATAAGGATTTAGTTTTAGTAATAAAGTTTTATTTTAGAAGCTTATCTTGCTGATTTAAATGATATTTAATAGATTATAAGTATAAATAATATACAATATCAGCAAAATTTATATTCGTACCATCCCTATTTATAATGAATTCCTGCAGTAGTAAATACCTTTAGGCATGCCCGTTTACAGATTAACTACTATAATACTTTTAATATTCAACTCATAATTTATATATAATTATTCTCTTTTTATATATTTGGAAGAGTTATATTCGTTTTTGAATTATATATTCAATTAATATGATAGCATTTACATAATAAATAAATTTTATAAAGTAGAATTTATCTGATAACCTACTGTATCAGTATGTATTATTATTTTAATTTTACAGAAAATTAATTAGAAGTTATCAATGTTTTTATTTTCATGTGAAGCAGAGAAACAAATATAATATAAAAATCTAAATAATTGATGAAAACTTTTCTAGGCAAGTTAAACTTAAGTAGTCATTACAATCAAATGTTTCAGAAGTACAGATTTTTCTAAAATCGCCAAAAACCAGCATACTATTAATTTTCTTGAGATAGTCAGTTTTGTTAACAATTGTTACAAATTATTGAACAATTATTGAATACAAACAGATCAATGCCAATGAGCTACAATAAGACAACTAAAATTTGGTTAGTATTTATTGAGTACAATATATATTGATATTGATATGAATAGTAGCAATAAAAAACGGCCATCAAGAACATAGATACTCATTGTTTGAACATAAAAAAGCATTCTCATTTTGTTCCACGTGGTAGCTCTCAGTATCTCACAACTGAAAAAGAGTTCGGCTACATGTCAACGTCGGTTAGGATTAGACATGAACCGCAAAAATTAGCGTGCTTCTCCAAATCTGCTTTCCGACGGCATATTAATTCTTTTATCAGATAGGCCATCTTGTTAATCAGACTTGACACAAGCGTTAACCTGTTAAAGGGCTCTTCGGACCTAAAAAATAATTTAGGTTTATCGTGTTATTAATTCGCCGAATTCATTATTTGCCATTAAAAGAATGTATAAAACATAAGTATTTTGAGTTTCTAATTTTATATAGAGTGTGAATTATAATTTAGAGAATGTAAGATTGAAATTAAACCCAATATATATATATATATATATATATATATATATATCAATTATGTAAATGTAAAAATTAAATTTGAAATGGGTAAAAATATAAATATCAAAATATCTAAATAGTTTTACTGTCCTATTCAAATATAGTATTCTGTAAAATTTTAATAATACAATATAAGAACAAAAGAAGTGTGTTGAATAATATAATTAAAATATTAAAATTAAATTATTGTTATTGAAATAGAACTATTACAAAATATAAATAATTTCTATCAATTATACTTAAATTTATTAATATTTTTTATTAATAAATTAATCTGTTAGAATTTATAAATTATATATATTACGAAATTTGAATTATACAGTTTTAATTCTTTTATTAAAAACTGTTTTAAATTCCTACAATGAAAAAATATATTGTTAAATTTATTTCTTAATTAAGCCAATTATATTTATAAAATTGTTTTAAATAATTATTTTTAAATAATTTTAATAAAACTTAAAACTTCATTTAATTTAATTTTTATTATCTGCATTTTAATTACCTTTTTACTGCTTAGTAGAATTCGATAGTAATGACTTTTTATATCTATTAAAATAGCTTGAATGCCTAATAGGTAGTAATAATAGCTTCTAAATACATAATGTTCGATTCTATTTAATACAGCGATATTATCATTTTACTGAATTTACGAGTTAAGATTTTTTTATTTTGATTTTTTATTTATACTATTTGAATTCATTAAAATTCAACAGCTAATATTAACTTTAAATTGATATTATTGTTTTGTTATTATTATTTGTTAATAAATGTTTAAACATGACTTATTTTTAATGAAAAACGGGTTTGTTATATGCGTTTTATGTTGCTGAATTTTTTTATTTAGTATAGCACTAAAGATTAGATGAATATTTGCTACAAAATTAATTTAATTTAGTAATTGCGGTAGGTATAGAAATAAATGTATATTGAATATAAATTAATTGTTGTGTCATAAATCCTTTCAAATTCCTACATTTTTTTGATTAGACAATATTTTATTCTATATTTAAATATTTATTTTAAATTACCTTGAATTTATTAGATTATTTAAAATTTTAATTTATTATATTAAATTTTTTTATTTAGCCATATCGTCTATAAATGAGAGAAATGAAGAGAATGAGAAAAGAAAAATAAAAAGAATTACGATATTAAATATTGTATAAACAAAGTAATCTGTGAGAGTGAAAAAGACAATGAGAATATGAGAATAGGATAG